TTTTTTTTTTTTTTTTGTTTTCTGCTTATAATTCATTTCCCCTCTTTTGCCTCATTTTTTTTTACTTTTTTTGGTAGATTATTTATAAAATTATTTTCTTTGTTTTTTAGACAAAGATTACTGTTATACTATTATGGATATGACTATGGTTATTATTATTATTATTATTATTATTATTATTATTATCATTATTATCGTTATTATGGATACTATTAATATTACTAGTATCATTATTAACCTTAGTGAAAAATATGATTATGCTTTGTTATTTTTTTGCCGTTTTTTCAAAACAGCTGACTGATTCCGGTGGTCGAGATGCTGATCATTGGTATTTCCACCGTCACCCTCGTCATCACCACCACCGGTTTAGTTTTGCTGATTCTATACCGTGGAATTCTCAACAGCAGTAACAACTGCTCTCGCTATCGTTAATTTTTTTAGTTCTTTTGAATGCGGTAGGAACAGTTTAGTACAGATTTAGTTAAGTGGCAACTAGGATAAGTACGGTTAGTTATGAAAGCAGAGGAAAGAGTATGTTCAAAAAAATTTTTGTTTCAAAAAAAGCAAAAAGAAGAGGACTAATTTATGGAGCATTTTTGACTGGAATATCGTTTATCATTGTATGGAGAGGAGAGAGGAAAGGAACAGATGAAAGCCGAGAAATGAGACCTGAAACTGCATTTTAACGGTATCGGAAATGAAGTAGAAGGAAGAAGAAACTTTGTCTATTATTTTGGTTTCAATCACAAATAAAACAATGGTTGTACAAATATAATATTGCGAAAAATTTTTTGTACAAATTTTTTCAGTTATAACATCTTATTTTTTTCTTTTTTTTTACAACTAATTATTTAAAAGTAATACAGGAAGGAAAATCACACAAAATACTGTTAATGAGATGGCGAAGTCAAGAGATTCTGTCATATAACAAATAAAGATTAGAACAGTACACAGATTTCACGGGCTTTGTCTTTTTACCAGGTTGAAATTTATTGCAGCTAAGTTTGAAGCATAAATGAGGCAACTTTGAGCAAAAAAGAATTTGTGCATATAACATTGTCTTTGTTTATTTGAGTAAGCAAAACACAAAATGGGTTTTTAGCTGTCAACGATGAAATTTTCATTTTTTCTTTCATTAACCTTCAATTTTTTCTTCTCGTTACTTTTTTTTCATTGTGTTATTTGCTCATCTTTTTTTTTTCTTCGTTTTTTTTTCCTTTTTTTTTTTCACCGAAATTAACGAGAACTGAAATATGTTGACATTTTTTTGTGGCTCTTCATTTATTTATATGTCTGTTACCAATATGCTAACACATGAATTTTAGCTGCTGCAAGTTTTTTTATTTAGCATTTTACTTGTTCTTGC